TGTGTGTGTGTGTGTGTGTGACAGAAGAAAGTTTAACACTGGAACAAAAACTTTCACAAAACTTGTGTGATTTTGTCACCTTTTGTTTCAAATCGGCTTGGTATTGTTGAGAGGAGGGCACAGTGCTAGGATGGAACTCAGGACTTCGTGCATACTAGATAAGCATTTTAGCTAATTCATTCATTACTAATTAATAATACTTCCTTTTTTCCCAGGCAGGGTTTGTCTGTGAAGGCTTGGCTGTCCTAGAACTAGTTCTGTAGACTGGAATGGCTTCTAATGCACACGATCCACTTGTCTCTGCCTCGAGCCTGCTGAGATTAAAGGCATGGGCCACCATCCAGCTAGATAAGCATTTTAACATTAAGGCACATCTCTAGTCAGAGAGTAGCATTTCCTAAAGACTCAAAGTGTGGTGAATTTTGTAGTTTTAAATTTACCTTTTATTTATTTATTTATTTATTTATTTATTTATTTATTTAAGTGCTGGTTCTGGGGTGGAACACAGAGACTTGTTCTCATGGACGGTTCAAAAGAGGACTCTTTGAGCCCAAAGAACCTCTTTGCTCTCTTAAGTCAAGGAAGAAGGAATGCACAGTGAATTCCAGAAAGGATAGATGGCTGGCAGCTCTTGCTGTCTGGCTGAGTTCAGGACAGCATCCTCTGCCAGTGATGGCCTGTGTCACACACACTGTGGAAAATTTGGTGACCATGTAGAGGTGTGGACTGAATCCTGCCTACTTCAGTGTGTTGGGCCTCCGTGTATCTCATTACTTCCTCTGGGTGACTTTTGATGAAAGCTTGAATTTGTGGAACCTCTTCTCTCCTACTTAAGGCTTAAGTGACAATGGCAGTGTATCTAGGGACATCTAGAGTGTGTTATGGGAATCTCCAATGGTAAGAAGTTCATCTAATTGGTTAAAGGAGGTTTCAAGGGAGTTTGTCATTAAACCTATAGTTTTAGATTTTTTCTGAGTACTTTTTTTATCTTATATTTCCTATGCCTTTTGTAATATGTGGGGGTGTGGTTGGTTCCTGGAATTTCTGTTGCTGAAATATATTTCAGTGAAACAATGAAATTATTGATGTGGTTGGGACCCAGCCCGTAGTTGGGCTTTTTGTGTTATGTTCTCAATAACAGAATTAAGTAGCTATCCTCTTTATCGCCCTTGGTTGGGATAGCCCCAGCTCACTGGAAAGCGTGACCTGAACTGCGTGGGCCATTGTATCTGGAATTCAGTGGCTGTTCTTGGTATGGAGGTATGGAGGTATGGAGGGACAGCCATGTAGGCACTGGTTTGAGCATAAGATTTCACTGCTGGTCCTTACATCTCTCTGATGTCCATGTGTCTACTGGGTTCTGCAGCTCTGGTTGCTAGGGCCTCAAGTTTGAGTCGAGATCTAAAGTGAGCTGGATCTTGATGTTGGTTCACCATATCTCATTCTCATATTTCATTAGTTTAATTGTCCTTCGAAAAAAGGTCTTTTTCTTCCTCTGTGCTTTCTTATGACTGCACTCTGTAACGCTTATGTACCTAACTGCGAGAGACTCAGGTGTGAGCATCAATTTGAATTCTACGAAGGACTCACTGGTATTGTCTTAAAGCAAATGCTAAGTGGTATTACTTATGAATTTGATGAGTCCTTAAAATATGAGGACTGCCAGAAAAGTGGTAATAGTAAAATTTAAAGAAATATAAATTTAAAAGCCAATAGGGCATTTTAAATGGAAATTTCACTTAATAAAGAGCAGTTGTTGATGTGTACTGCCAAGGGAGGTGGTAAACGTTCCCACACCAGAAGTGTTACCTGATATTAACTTTGAAACAGAAGAAAGTTATTTTATTTTATTTTGCTTTGGGTTCTATAGGGCAAAGGAAATAACTTGCGTTCTGTTTGACAGCAAGGCAACAATGCCCACCTAACAGAAGCCAGTGAGGATTCCTCACCTCACTAGCATTGACTCCTTGTTCTGATGAGGCGATACAGGGAGATCAAAGGATATAGCCAGTTCTCTCCAGAAGGACTGGGGAGAAGCTGTTCTTGTTTGTAACACCATGAAGAAGGAACATTTATTTAAACAGGTTTGAGGTCTGCCTGCAAGGCTCACTGCATCTGTTTCTAGAAGAATGGAACCACTTTAAGAAAGAAATATAGAGTCCACAAATGAAACTGGATGTAATTTAGGCCTCTTGAGGTAACTATGTAGACTAAAAGGAATGGCAGCCTTGGTGCATGATGAGGCTATGGCCTTGACTTGCTGTGCTCTGGACACATCAATGGTGAAGCATCTGGATTGCTTAGCACAGGACACAATTATTGGACAGAAGGGGAGCTTGCAGGTATTCCTGTCAGGAAAGGCTAGAGATATGAGTCTCTAGGGAAAACAGCAGTGGGCTGGGCTCTGTTAGCTCAACCTCATGTGACCCTGGGTCGTTTTCTGTACCTCACTTTGTGCTCTAAAGTCAGGTGATACAGACCACTGCTCTTCAGCTCCCACCTGTCTCTCAAACTCGAACTGTTAATTAGCACTCATCAGCTGCTTTTATTTTCTACTGCCACTGGGCAGACATCCTCGAGTGGAGCGTTCCGGGTTGTTGTCCCGGGGGTGGTGGTGGTAGTGGTGGTGGTGGTGGTGCTGTGCAGGGCTGGGTGTGGCCAAGGAACTGGCAGGGATGGATCTGTGTTTTTACTTCACCTGCCCAGAAGGAGACAGAGAGCACAGGTGGCACCTTGAATGCTTACCGCATAGTGACAACAGCTTCCTGGAGGAGTCTTCCTTCACTTTAGATTTTCCAAATTGGAATTCAAAAAAAATGACACCCGAGTCTTATTCTGTCTGCTGTTCCTAGGTCTCTTCCCACCCTGTTGGTCATGACTTTGGTAACGGGCAAAGCCTCAAGAATGATTTCCCATTTCATGCCTCAACAGCACAGGGTAGGTCCCGAGATTCAAATGATTTAATAGAGAGGGTTGGGAGGCAGGTTGACAACTTGAAAATGTTGTCTTCATGCTATGAACTGATTCTCAAAGGTAAGATTTAGGTCATGCCATGCGTGAAGATGTCTTAGAGAGCAGGCCAATCGCACAGGTTGCATCTGCTCTTCAAAGTAAAGCCTTTAGGTGTCAGCTCATGGTATGACTGTCAGACTTCAACTGCTTCGGGACGCTGATTCTTTTTTTTTTTCCTTTGAAACTTATAACAAGCCTCGAAAACAAAGGTTGATTCCTCTGGGGTGTGGAAAGTCTTAAATGATTGCTGGTTTTCAGGTTCATCAAAGGGGAGTGTGGAAAAAAGATTTGGGGGACAAGCTTGCCAGGGGGAAAAACAGTCACTAGGTAGGGGTCAGTCTGGGGAGCACTCGGGGGAAGAAAGGGGGTTACCTATGGTTTGGTAGATTAGCAAAGTAAAAAAAAAAAAAACCAGGCAATTGATTATTTTAAAAATAAGAATGTCCCTATAAATTTACATGAATTTAGCATATGGGCTTATGAAAATCTCCTTTCCTTACCAAAAGTTTCAGAAACCCACCCTTCCTTCCCTCCCTCCCTCCCTCCCTCCTTCCTTCCTTCCTTCCTTCCTTCCTCCCTCCCTCCCTCCCTCCCTTCCTTCCTTCCTTCCTTTTTTTCTGTCTTGCCTTACTTCTCCCTTCTTTATCTCTCTCTTCTTGTATTAAGCAAAACTAGGTCTTAGTTCCTATATAAATGAAGTTTAAATCATCTTTATCACACCACAGCCTCTGTATGATATTCAAATCACCCCCTTCTGAAGGTGAAGGATAATAGCACAGATAATCTAGAGTATCAGTACATTTAATTGAAAAAAAAATAGAAACTACTATTTAAAACATCTGGAGCCACAGATTAAGCAGACAGCTACTAAAACAGCAGATTATATCTTACAGAAGTGCAGACAGACTTGAGCCACTAGTTTAATAGGAAAGCATGAATATAGTCAATGGATTTATGCATGAAACTGCTTCATAGAACTGGTTTGGCTTATATCAGTTCAAACTTCTGGTGGGTGCAGAGTGGCAATTCTTTTCCACATTGTTTCTCGATTGTTCTCTAGATGTAAAGTAATTTGAAATCTTGAGACTAGCTCGGAAGCACTTCTCATCATTCATTCTGTTGGTTCCAAAGAGCAGCTGGACTTAGAGATGGCTTTCTGGTTGCCTGATAGTGGTTTGAGAATTATGCAATGTATCCTTGGGTTTGTAGGCATCATTCACATTTAGTTTAAAGACATCTCACTAAATACTATGTTTAAGATCCAGAACTGTGTTTCTAACTTATGAACATGTCGTCTGAATCCATATATATTAGATTATGACTACATGCTGAAACTTCCACAGAAACATATATATATATATATATATATATATATATATATATATATATATATGTATGTATGTATGTAAATAATACATATTCATCTATATGTATGAAAAGAGACACTTATTACTGATCATCATATTCCTTAATTTTGAAAATTAAATGTCCTAAAATATTCTTAGCATTTTTAACCTAGATTTATAATCCCCTGAGGACTACTTGGCCTAAATTAGAAACACTCGTAGTCACATGAGACCATAGGAAAAATTTGTGTCCAGATGTTAATTTCTCTCCCTTTCACTTCTTTGAGAAACACAAAACAAAGAGCCCCATCTTCAGCTCATCTCACCCATGGACATAAACTGTTCACATGGCTAGTTCCTTTGAGGTGGGGAGGCTATTCCTCCCTTCCCTTCAGTAGGCAGAAACTTGCCTTATCAGAGAGATGAGTCTTCATTTCCTGTTTCTACTTTTTTTCCAGAAGAAACTAAATATAGGCTTTGTCTTTGCCTTCATCGACTAGCGGCCTTCTCTGTGAGTAAAAGGTGAGACCTTTTACTAGGGCAGCTCAGGGCCATTCTGGGTGAGTTTTAAAGTCATTTCTTCCAGCTTTTAAATCAGCGAGTAAATGAATACTCACATAACCCTCTTCTTGCTCTATTATTCCTGCTGTCCTTAAAGGTCTGCTCTTAGCAAATAGTCCTTCCTCCAATGTCCTCACCACCTTTTTCTTTCTACTAATCTATATTGTTTTAAGGTATATTAACAACTGATAATCTTTAAAAGGGGAAGCAAGTACCCCAAGGGTACATTGTGTATCTTCTAATAAGACTTGTGAGCAAACGCAAGAGGCAGTGCAAGGAGTTTCGACTCAAGGATCCTTGAGTTTCAAAGTGGAGCTCTATGGAGAAGCTAATATGAGAGATCTTGGTCATTTATACTCAAAGAACTATAACTCCAAAATCCCCTTAAAAATCAGGCAGAACCTTACTGCTGAGAGGGGACAGGGAAAGTGGATGAGGGACTTGTTTCAAGGCTTGAGTTGACTGGTGGCTGGGACTCTGGTACCAAAGTACAGACATATGATCAGAAAGCCCCACATTCTAGCTGGACACAGACTAGTATGACGTGAGGAGATGGTATCATATTCATCATTTTAGAAATGCTCGAAATAATTTCTTGAACATGAGTGTCAAAAGCTTATCAAAGAATGTTTTGACTATGTAGGTCCCAGAAAAATTTAAGCCAAGACAAATTAAACGAAAGGGAGAAGGTGTGAGGGAAGTAGATCTTTCTGAAGGCACAGATGCTCCTGTGGCTTGGAATGGGCCAGACTCAGGAGATTTGGGATCTCAGGAAAGTGGTGAGACTCAGGAAAGCCATGCGAGTTGGGTAAGTAAGCTGGCCAGGATCTGCTTCCCTTGATTTCAAGAACTACAGGCTTCACCCACAAATCGAGACACTCCTTTATTGTGGTTGTGTGGAGACAGAAGAAATGATTGTGGTGCAGGAAAACAAACTGCTTTTTAGGGGGAATGCTGATTTTGTTTTTTTCTTCTATCCTTTATTCACTCTTAGAAAAGGTCCAGCAGGTCAAAATAGTCCAGTTATAAGCAGCTCCCAGAGCCTCTGACATTTTGAAGAAAATATCAAAAGTTGCTAACAGTTCACTAAGGGTCAATTCTAGTCAAGAGTTCCTTTGTGATGATGGGCTTGTCAAGTACTTCTGATCCTTGGTTGAGAGCTTAGTCCGAGACTTTCCCTGAGGCTCTGATATATGGAGAAGGAACTTATTTCCTTGTCTAAAAACCAGAAACATGCTTGGCAAGGTCAGTAATAACCTGGATCCAGGGCCCTGGGAGAACTGAGGTTTCTAAATCTGGGAAAACCCCCTCCTTTCCCTCCTTGAAGAGCTTCAGTGATCAGCCAAGGCTGCACTTGAAATATCCTGTGTTCCCTTTGGATAACATTACTTGATCAGATTCTTGCTGACTTTGTCCCACTGTGTGATAGTTTTCTACTGACTCTGTCTCATTTTTCCTCTCTGCACACTGTATGTAAGATGCTGCACTTAATAAGCTTGCTCAGCATATGATATAGCTTGTGCACAATCTCCTGAATCTACCTTTTCTGACCCTATGGTCCTCTCTCTCAGGAACCACTGCTGCTGAAGAACGGCCTTCTGGTCCAGGGCATTTCTGTCCTTGGGTTCTGGTGTATTACTGCAGCATTCCTATGAGGTGGAGAAGGTCTATAATTTCTGTTTTGTTCTTTGGCGTTAAAGGTTCTGAAGCCAAGCTACCCTTAAAAGTAACTGTTTAGGGTAAAGGAGCAAGCACACACTAAGGTTAAATGTAACCTTTCCATGTTCATTTTTAAGTTGGAATACTATGCCACGATAATAAAGAAATTAGAATTTTTCTCCAGACAGTTTTTGTGAAGAGTAAATGAATTCAGGTGCATAGAAAGCCTACATAATGCTGTGCGTCTCATCACTTTTAAGCCTCAGTCAGTGCTGCTTTTCCTTGATAAAGGATGGGTGGTGGTGTTAGCATGTTACCAATCACTGAAAACAGTCATTACCTCCTTACCCTTCATCCTGATCCATAAACTGAACAACTCACTTGTATGTGCCAGCTTTATAAAACTCAAACGAATAGATTGGCATAAGATATACTTTGGAAAACTAAAGTGTTAGGAGAATGGAATGTATATCACCCTTTCTCAGGCATTCTAACTATACTTTATATGAAGGCAGATAGGATGTTGTCAGGAGCCAGCAGGAAGGTACTTATTGTGGTAAGGTATTATGGGAGCTGATTCCCCAATAATAATGGACATTTGGAAGGATACAGGTAATGGCATAAATCCACATTGGCATGGGGGAAAGCCTAGAATCTGCTACAGAAAAGCACTACATTCAATGAGAGCATCTAGAACCATGGCGACTGGAGGAAGGACCATAGCAGCACTGTCAGCAGAGGTGTCCGAGCTACAAAGCAGATGCACACACACCGCTCTGCGATGAAGGGGTCGGCAGGGACATGGAGACAGGGCAGCTCATGCATGACAGTTACAGTCTATCACACAGGAAGCACTCAGGACAGGGCCTCCGACCTGTGGTCTAGAGGATTCTTACCTTTTTGACATCCCTGACCAAGTGGTACAATGTATTTGAAGGCCCATGTCTCTGAAAATGATAAAGAACAATCAAACAGTTTTGCTAGTCAGGGGCTCCAGGTGGTGAGGCAAGAGAAAGCTGGAAGGAAGGGTTCTGACCAGTGGAGGGCAGCTCTGTGTGCTGGGTCTTGTTCTACGTGCTCAGTTGTATATGTCACTTTGAAACCAGGACTGGCTGGATTTTGGGATCACTAGTTCTCCAAGAAAATGTGTCTGAAGATCTAGGTTCAAACTTTGTAAGGCCGATTGTCATATAATAGATGCCTAGGCCAGCTGGTGTGGAAAGAACTAATTTTACAGCAGAAGAAAGCAGAGAGGTTTTGACACACTGTCTTAGAGACTTTTTAATTTTTTTTAAATGTCATTTTCCAAGTAATGATTGAAAACTTGTCTCAAAAAAGGTTGGCCAGCTTTCTCTGCAAAAGGCCAGAAATGAAATAGTGAATACTCGTGGACCATGCAGTCTTTATCCAATCCGTTTGGTGGTTATTATTGTATGAAAGCAACTATAGATTATATACCAACAAGTGATCTTATGTTTCAATAAAACTTTATTTGTGGTCACAGAAAATTAAATTCCATATAATATTTTTAGGAGAGGGTTTTACTGTGTAATCCCAGCTGGCCTCAGAAATCATAACTGTCCTACCTCAGCTTTCTGAATTCTGGGATCACATGCAACTGCTACCATATCCAGCCAGATTTCATAAATTTTAATATGTCATGGAATATTGTATTCCTTTGGTTGTTTCAGACATTAAATATAGAGAAACCTCATCCATAGCTCCCAGGCTATACAGAAATGGTGGATTGGCTTTATATTTTGGTGACAGTTACCCTGATATCTGACTTGAGGAAAACTCACAAGTTAGTTGTGGAAGAAGAGGTCAGGAAAAGGTATGCCTATAAATAAAGCAAACGATTTGTTATTCCCTAGTCTTTCAGGTATAGGGACGATAAGTTAAGTACAGAATACTCAGCGAAATTGGGATTTCAGATGAGCAATGACACCCCATGCAATATTGGGAATATATAGTCAGCCCTCTATACTCATGATGTCCGTGGAGTCCACCAACTGGATTAAAAATATTCGGTGTATGTGTGGGATTATGTCTGTATTGAATATGTACAATTTTTCTTACCGTCATTACTTAGAAGATACAGCCTACTAACTATTTATATGATGTTTATCTTATATATGGCATTGGATGAGAGAGTACCAAATCCCTGGTTTAGGTGCTTCATTATTCAGCTTCCGGGAAGAGGTTACTTAAAAAATTTTGGGCAATACATGTTGGTTCTGTGAACTTCAATGTCATTTAGATGATGAATTTGAACATCTGAAATTTTTCACCTCCCTATGGTTGTTAGCATTCTGTCTAAACTCTACCCCCACAGTTACTTGGTAACAGCCAGGTAGGCCTGGCCCACTAAAAAAGGGGCTGCTTGCCCCCTTCTCTCTCTCTTGATTTCCTGCTATCTTGATCTCTTGCTTCTCTTTCCCCTCCCCCCTCTCTCCACATGCTCATGGCCGACCTCTACTTCTCTTCTCTCTCTCTCCCTCCCTCCCTCCCTCTCTCTCTCTTTCTCCCTCTCTCCCTTTTCTCTCTCTCTCTCCTCCCCTCTCTGTCTCCCCCCCTTTCTCTGCCTCTACTACCCCATTAACTCCCTCCCAATGCCCTGATTAAACTCTATTCTATACTATACCATCGTGTGGCTGGTCCCTCAGGAGGAAGGGATGCCTGGCCTCTGCATGGGCCCACTGAGACATCCCCTTCCCCCATACCTCACCACACACCCACAGAACATATTCTATATCTCTTTATCTTTTTATAAATACATCAATGGTAATGCTTCCTACAAAGATATGAATGAAGGATAACCGTATCTATGCTAACAATCAGTGCTTGTCTGAAACCCAAATTTTGCTGCAGCTATTGGCTTAATCTGGCAACCTGATTGGAGAATCTAACACAGATCTGGGGCTGAGGTTTCTGGCCTCAAACCTGGGTGTGCATATAGCCATCACAGAGCTTACTGTGACTTGATTTTCTCCTGTCTAGAATGTGGATAATAACATCGCTTCATCTGCTAGGTCTATCTGAGAGTTAAATAATGCAATATTTCCTCTTAAAGCTGTTAAAATAGTGCTTAGCATTACGAGATATCGTTATTCTTGTTGTTGGCATTTACTGGCTCATAATTCTTCTCAGCATTGCACTGCAGATGACCGCCACCTGTTTGTTGATGGGAGCACTACAGGTGACCACCACCTGTTGATGGGAGCACTGCAGGTGACCACTACCTGTTTGTTGATGGGAGCACTACAGGTGACCACCACCTGTTTGTTGATGGGAGCACTACAGATGACCACCACCTGTTGATGGGAGTACTGCAGGTGACTGCCACCTGTTGATAGGAGCACTGCAGGTGACTGCCACCTGTTTGTTGATGGGAGCACTGCAGGTGATCACCACCTGTTTGTTGATGGGAGCACTGCAGGTTACTACCACCTGCTAATGAGTGTGATAAGACCATGGTTTGAGGTCCAGGAACAAGTTTCTCTCTTTCCTTCTTTTCCAGGCTTTGGACTGACCCTTTCTATCCCCATAACTCTAACTGATTCCTAAGTCATGAAACCCATCATTCCTTACTGTAAGTCTCATGTGTTGAGGCAAGACAAGCCTGCAGGGAAAGCAGAAACCTGGATCTGCCAGACAACTTATTTCCTGCAGTGGCATTGACATGAAGCTAGCTGTTATCACCTACCATCTGCCTCTTGTTGGGGCCAGCCCATAGGTCTATCCCACTGTACTCAGGGGGACAGACATTGTGGCAAGTGAATCAAAAGGCAATCTCTGAAAAGAGACTTAAGTTTGTCACTGAGTTTTTTCTGTTGTTCAGAGATTTAGGACCTTCAATCAACTACTTTTTAGTCTCTGTCTACGTTTTATATTTTGTGACTACAAAATTCATGTTGAGTTTCCTATGAGTACAGCAGTGGGGGGGGAGATGAGACTGTTTGGTGACTTGGTTATAAGGGTACCTTCTTTGTAAGTGGAGCTGAGGTCTAGATAGAAGAGGGTTCATACTTCTGTACTTTCAACCTTTCTGCCCTAAGAGGACAGTGTTTGTCCCTCTCACTAGACACATTCTGGAAAGATAAAATGGCTCTCACTACATAGTGAACCTACTGGCACCTCCATCTTGGACTTGCAGCCTCCAGAACTGTGAGAAAGGAATATATGTTCTTCATAATTTACCCAGCCTCCACTGTTATTGATTCTGTGTTATGCTTACATACAGAAGCCTAACATGGCTGTCCTCTGAGAGGCTCTACCAGTAGCTGACTGAGACAGATGCAGATACTTACAGCCAACCACTGGACTGAGCTCAGGGACCTCTATGGAAGAGTTAGGGGAAGGACTGAAGGAGCTGAAAGGGATTACAACCCCATAGAAAGAACAATAGTATCAACTAACCAGACTCCTCAGAGCTCCCAGAGACTAAGCCACTAACCAAAGAGCATACATGGGTTGGTCCATGCCCCCCACCCCCATATGTAGCATAGGGTTGCCTTGTCTGGCCTAAGGAGGGGATGCACTTGATCCTGTGAAGAATTGATGCCTTAGAGATGGAGGATACTAGAGGATTGAGGTGGGAGTAGATGGGTGAATGGGGGAGCACCCTCTTAGAGGTGAAGGGAGGGAGGATAGAGTGGGGGCTTGTGGAGGGGAGACCGGGAAGGGGGACAACATTGGAAATGTAAATAAATAAAATAATTAATACAAATAAAATAAAATTGAAAAAACAATTACCCAGCCTCAAGTATTCTGTTGTAGTTGCATAAATAGACTAAGATTGCCTCAGTTTTCTCATCTGTGAAATGGTAAAGGACAACATCAGTTCTTCCCACGCTTGGCTGTTTTAGTAAATGCCACTGCAAAGAATAGCCACTACCATAAAATGCTTGTGGATGACTCCAGGGTATTTTCTTCTTTTTTAATAATTTTTTTTATTGGATATTTTATTTACATTACAGATGTTATCCCCTTTCCCCATTCCCTCCCTCCAGGAACTCCCTATCCCATCCCACCTCCTCCTGCTTCTGTGAGGATGTGTCCCCACTCATCCACCCACTCCCACCTCCACACCCTCAAATTCCCCCACACTGGGGCATCCAGCCTTCAGGGGACCAAGGACCTCCTCTCCCACCTATGCCCGACAAGGCCATCCTCCTCAACATATACAGCTGGACCCATGGGTCCTTCCCTATGTGCTCCCAGGCTGGTGGTTTAGACTCTGACTCCAGGGTATTTTATACTGTCTATCACCGAGTGAGAATGCAGGGGACGGTGAACTTAGTATCTCTGAGGATGACACAATGATACAAGCTACTTAATAAGCGTCATTGATGGTTGTGCTAAACCAACCCTCCTTGCAATATTTGTCTCCAACACTCCCTTGGGCTTACTGTGTGTGTGTGTGTGTGTGTGTGTGTGTGTGTGTGTGTGTGTGTGTGTATGGTGTGTGTTCCAACTGGCAGAGACTTGCTTGTGTTCTCAGTTAGAATCTGAGAACCCTATGGTGATCATGATACCTTTTGCTTAAGATGCTGACAACTGAGCAGTTAGAACAAGTGAGTTCTTGATGTCTGTAGTTTATCCAGGTGTAGGGGAATGCATGTGAGGAATGATGCATGCAGCACAGGAGAGACAGGAAGAGAATCACAGGCATGGGGGCGGGGCGGGCAGGACTAGGGAAACAAACAGAAGAGACAGAGAAATTGAAAGGCATCTTAGCTTGGCCCTACCGTATTGTACAGCTCCTCTAGTCTGGAGATGGTGAGAAAACGGTGCATGCTTACTCCATTTTCTATGAGTAATTTCACAAAGTCCACTCTGTCCAGGACTAGGGCATCCAGCATGGCTTGCTCCAGGGACCCTACCTGTAATTCAAGACATTCACTTAGCCTGCCCACATCAGAGAATCGCTGTTCCTCTGTGCTCACCCAGAAGGCTTGAAACACATTGGTGACATCTGCAAGTCTCTAGGTATACCAGAGCGACCCAGCACTCTGACACCAGGTGCCATTCCTGGTACTGGAGGAACAGGCCTTGGGAAACAGAAGTCAAGGAGTCCAGATCTAGAAGCTACTTTCTCTTCTAAGTCTCTTTCTTGTTCTGGAGCCTCAGGACCCAAGGTCTTCCCCCTGATGGATTCTCTGGCTAGTTTTCTACAGGGCCTGTACAGGTGATCCTAGACACTTTACTGCCTTAACTTTCTTCTTTCTTAGGCTCTGAATGAGAGCCCTCACTGACTTGAGGATAAGAACCCAGGAAAACACAGCTGAGGGCCAAACAGACCTGAACAAGTGTGTAGGTGTGTAGTAATGGACACTCCCGAGGCAAGCTGGTTTAGCATAACTTAAGAACAACATATTTTGTGGGTGGAACGCTGGCCTGGCTGCAATTTGTAGTCTTTCACCATCTCTCATTGTTTTCAACGTTCAGATTCCTTGACAAATGTGCTCCCCAGCTAGAAATCCTTGAACTTTAAAAGGGCAGGTGCTCAGCGTTGGCTAGAGCTTCTGGGGATGGAAGGTTCAGAGAGTCGTATTTCCAAGCTGCTGCTGGGCTGCAACCCGTGTATGCGTGCGCACATCACCCAATGGCCTATTTCCCAAGTTCTGATTTTTGGCAGCCAAGTGACGGGGGAAAAAGCCACGGGCAGTTATATAAAGCTTTGGTTCACTTGTGCTGGGATAGGTCGGACCTGAGCTCAGCCACCAGGACCAGATGGTACCTATACACGGAGGCCTGGCCCATTAGCAAACCAGCAGGAACGTGCAGCCATTTGGTGGCAGCAGCTTCCTCCTTCTGCTCGCCTAAAAGACAACCAGAAACATGCGAGTCCTCCCTCCCTCTCTTAAATTTTAACTTTATTTTATCTGTATTTTTAAAGGTAGAATAAAAAGATAAGCTATGCGTCCAAAAATTGCTAAGAGCCAGGGAACCTTTAGTGGTGCGCTTTGTAATATCTTCCACTAGGTGGCAGCATGTTCCCAAACACGAGACCGGTGTCCAGCCACATGCTGTGCTATGCAAAGGTAGATTCCCGCATTCCCGTCCCAGCCCCAGCCCCGCCCAAATATCTGAGCCATTTTCAAAGGTTCCTTAAACACCCTTGCCAAGCACATGGGCTTTCAAGGGTAACGACGTATACTCTACCGGCCACTGCTGCCCGTAAATAAAGATCTGGCTGCGAGCGATGTCAACTCTGTTCCAGGCTAAAGCTAAGCTCAGCTGGTCTGGGGCGGATGCATTGGCGCCTGTACAAAGTGGGACCAAAAAAACAAAACAAAACAACAACAACAACAACAAAGAAGAGAAACACAGTAGTTAGTTATGCCACACCAAAAGACCCCTTTTAGTCACTCCATCAATTCCTCTTCTCCACGACCAAACTAAGGAGGCCATGTGACTCTATTCCACTATTGACATTTATTGGGCGGGGGTGTGGGGTATGGGGGAGGATCCTTCTTTGCCATGGTGTTTTCCTTTGCACTGTAAATTTATTTTCTATCTATCTATCTGTCTATCTATCTATCTATCTATCTATCTATCTATCTATCTATCTATCATCTGTTTGTTTTAAAGACAGGATGCCAATATGTAGCCCAATCTGGCCTTAAACTCATGGGATACTCCTGGCTTGGTTTTCTTCGTGTTGGGATAGCAGGTGAATGTCACCATGCCCGACATCGATTGCATTTCAATACCCAATAAGCCACGTGTGACTAGAAGCACATATAACATTTCTGTCTCTACAGAAGGTTCTGCTGCCATAGGCAGTCTAGATAAAGCATGCTGTCCACACGTGCGGATCCTCGACAGCTGCTTGTGTAGCTGAGAACGGGGGGAGCCTAGAAAGGGAGTGGGGATATCTTGCACCCTCTGTTGCCCATCTTGTGTCTGGGAGAGACAGGACTTCTATAAGCCACTGTTCTGCCAGCTAGGAAATGAGAACAGTAAAAATTATCCTATTTTATTCAGCAGAGATGCCCCGAGACTGAAATGGAATCATGTATGTGAGTTTACATGCCAACAGGCCCTCCCCCCCACTTCACTGACGCCCTTGGTGTATGGAGGAAGAGACCTCACTGCACACTGGTCCCCTTTTACTCTATTGAATATTCTACTAGCAGGGGAGAGAAGAGAAAGCGCTCTCTTTTGGATAAGAGACTTTGAAAAGTGAACATATGTTTGGCAAACTGTTAGGAATTTCCACATGTTGTGCTAAGGAATGTCTCCAGCGATCCTAGACACTGGCTCTTGCTATCTGCACTGGGCAGATGAAGATGCTCACGTCCAGGTTGGCTAGAGTGACTAGGGAAAGGTCACACACCTCCTAAAAGAATGCACAGAAGCATTTATCACGGTGCAGTGACATTCTAGCCAGAGCCAGTCATTGTGAATTCTGACCATCCCCATGGGCTCCGCATTGGGGAAGGTTAGAATCAATATAAGGGGCCACTTTCTGCTGACCACACTATGAATGTACGTGACCCCCACATGGTGCCACCTGTCAGCATTATCTGGAGATCTTTTCACTATGGTTATGACAGCCCCATACCAATCTGACCACATTGCTTGAAGGAGTTTCTAAAGCCCCCAGATGTTTCCAACGTGCCCCAGGAACAGAAATCTGCTGACCCAGATGCCTCTTTTCAAGCATGACTGCCCCATGCCTTTTTCTTCTGGACTCTGCAAATCGATACTAAGAAGGAAGCAAACGGCATTGGGAGGATATAAAGCAATTGCTAAGTAAGCATGGGGATCTTAGCTCACAGTCCCCTAAAGGGGCATAGAAGCTGGGCAGGAGTGTTTTGTGCCTTTAATCCAGTGCTGGAACAGGGGTGACAGAGACAGGAGGATCCCTGGGGTTTGCTGGCCAGACAGTCTAGCTGAACTGATGTGCTCCAGGTTCAGTGAGACACTGTCTCAAAACCAGATGGAGAGGAATAGAAGATGATACCTGGTATTACACATGAACACATGTACACATATGTATACACAGCTATATACACACATGGCCATATACACATATGTATGCACAGCTATATATACACACATGGGAATACACATAAGCATGCACAGAGAGAGACAGAGATATAGAGGACAGACAGACAGACAGACAGAGACATACACACACACACACACACACACACACACACACACACAGAGAGAGAGAGAGAGAGAGAGAGAGAGAGAGAGAGAGAGAGAGAGAGA